GGTTTGTTTCTTTGTTTTTTCCCATGCAGTAGAGTTTACTTTTGAGTTATCTCATGTGTTATGAAATAACACATGGAATATTTTTTTTAAATAGTACTTAGTGTTTCTTCCTGATTAGACAAGTTATACTGTGTATTTGTTGAAAATATAGGAAAGTGTAAACAAGATATCCTCCATAATCCCTGTACCACTGTTAAGTTCACATTTTGGTGAATTTCCTTTGTCCTTTTTATTTATTTATTTTTCTTTTAAAGCAAAATCAAAGGCAAATTAAATATAGCTTCATTCTACTTTTTTAACTTGTCATTTAAAAAATTCTATAAGATATTCTTTAAATATATGGATTTTTTAACCCTTACATAATAGTCCATTGTTCCTTGTTTTATTTTTTTATCCCCTAATTATTAGACATTTAGAATCTGTCTATTTAAATTTTTTAAATTACAGGCATACCAAGGAGATATTGCAGGTTCAGTTCCAGACCACCGCAGTAAAGCGAATATCGCAATAAAGCAAGTCACGTGAATTTTCGGTTTCCCAGTGCATAAAAAAGTTATGTTTACACTATACCGTATGGAGCCCTGGTGGTGCAGTGGTTAAGCGCTCAGCTGCTAACCAAAAGGTCGGTAGTTCAAGTCCACCAGCCGCTCCTTGGAAACCCTGTGGGGCAGATCTACTCTGTCCTGTAGGGCTGCTATGAGTCGGAATCGACTCAGTGGCAATGGGTTTTTTTTTTTAACATAGTCTAATTAAGTGTGCAGTAGCATTATGTCTAAAAAAACAATGTACATACCTTCAGTTTAAAAAAACTTCATTGCTAAAAGATGCTAATCATCATCGGAGCCTTCAGCGATTTGTCATCTTTTTGCTGGTGTAGGTTCTTGCCTCAGTGTTGATGGCTGCTGACTGATCAGGGTGGTGGTTGCTGAAGGCTGGGGTGGCTGTGGCAATTTCTTAAAATAAGACAATGAAAGTTTGCCACATCAATTGACTCTTCCTTTCACAAAAGATTTCTCTGTAGCATGTGAGGCCGTTTGATAGCATTTTACTCACGGTAGAACTTCTTTCAGAATTGGAGTCAGTCCTCTCAAACCCTGCTGCTGCTTTATCAACTACGTTTATGTAATATTCTAAATCCTTTGTTGTCATTTCAACAATGTTCACAGCATCCTCACCAGGAGTAGATTCCATCTCAAGATTCCATAAGAAGCAACTCCTCATCCGTTAAAGTTTTACCATGAGATTGCAGCAATTCAGTCACATCTTCAGGCTCCACTTCTAGTTCTAGTTCTCTTGCTGTTTTCACCACATCTGCAGTTACTTCCTCCACTGAAGTGTTGAACCTCTCAGTCATCCATGAGGGTTGGAATCAACTTCTTCCAAACCCCTGTTAATGTTGATATTTGGACCTCCTCCCATGAATCACAAATGTTCTTAATGGCATCTAGAATGGTGAATCCTTTCCAGAAGGTTTTCAGTTTACTTTGCCCAAATCCATCAGAGGAATCACTGTCTATGGCAGCTATAGCCTTATGAAATGTATTTCTTAAAAAATAAGACTTGAAAATCAAAATTACTCTTTGATCCATGGGCTGCAGAACAGATATTGTGTTAGCAGGCAT